AGGGAAGAGAGGAGGCAGCCTCTCTCTCCCTTTCCGCCGCCTCCTTTGCGAGCATCACGGCCTCGCAAAAGATAGCGACGGCACTCCACCCTGACTCGCTCCCGACCATAGTAGACACTACAGCCGGAAGCGAGAGATTTCCCGCAGCACCTACGGCCGCGACCAGGTCACGGCGCTGCTCGGCCCAAGCTGTACATTCCGCCAACGTATGCAGCGCCGTATCGTCGCGGCAATTACCACAATGGTGGCACTGAGACGTCGGCTCCCGGCCTATGCGACACAGGTACTTCCCGAAACACCCGTGTCCGGTAAGCACCTGCGTCAGCCGGAAGCTGAGGGCGCCGTGGCTCCTATTGAGCCACTCCTGTAGAATTGGCCTTACCGCCGCTATAGCGGCGTGCCCCGCCGTGGGTTGCGCTAAACGCGTCTGCCACTCCGCCACTAAGGCCTGGCGGAGTTCTGCCCTGCATGCCTCAACCTGTCGAGGCACCAGGCGCTCGCCCCGCTCGACTGCCTCCGCACGCCACCAATAGAGTGACGCGAGGAGCTTTGCGTCGAGGTCCCAGGGCGGGGATCCGGCTAGGAGGCTCGCTGCCTCAAAGGAGATCGTACGGTATCCCCTTATTATCCTGACGGCCATCGCGCGCTGTGGCCTTCGCAGCGCAGCGATGTTGCGAGCCGTCAGGGCTCCCGCCCACACTGGCGCGGCGTATAACGCCATCGACCGTACGACCCCCATGTAGAACCTCCGGGAGGAGTAGATGGGCCCCCCCTGGTTGGGCAGCAAGCGCGACAAAGCAGCAGCGGCGCCCATCAACCGGGGGGCGAGCCGTGTAAAGTGCGGCCCGAAATTCCACCGACTGTCGAGAACGAGTCCGAGGTACTTCATCGTGGACTCAACAGCGATGGAAACCCCTCCTACTATGATGCTGGACCCCTGAGGCGGCTTCATCCTCGGCCCATGAAAACACAGGGCCTCCGATTTGTGCAATGCCACCTCTAGGCCCAGCCGCCGGATCCTACCCACGACGTGCGCGACACCAGCAGTCGCGCGTATGGACGCCTGCCGGTACGACTTCCCACGCGCTGTAACTAGCGTATCGTCGGCGTAACAAATGACGCCGACGCCGTGGAGTAGCGCACCGCGCAGAGCCCAGTCGTAGCCAACGTTCCACAAGAGCGGCCCCAACACCGAACCCTGCGGAACGCCGCACGACGTCTCTCGCCGACCCCATCCTTCTCGACCCGGGTACACCACCGACCTGTCCGACAAATAGGCCCCGACAATGCGTTGGAGGTAGCGCGGCACCCCGTGATACCGGAGTGCCTCTCGGATGGTACTCCAGGGCAAGGTGTTGAAAGCGTTAGCGATGTCGAGCGACACCGCCAAGACCACCTCACCCCGGGCGACTGCCTCCTCTGCCAGGACCCTCACGCGCATGATCGCATCCACTGTGGAGCGCCCCTGGCGGAAACCAAATTGGTTGTCCGCCAAATCCGGCCCCACCCTGGTCATGTGCTGGACGAGGCGGCCGGCAATGATCCGCTCGAAGATCTTACACACCTCGTCCAGCAACACGATCGGCCTGTACGCAGATGGGGAGTCTGCGGGGCGCCCCGCCTTCTTCAGCAGGACCAGCTTTCCGGTCTTCCACCGGCTTGGAAACTGGCCCCGCTCCAAACATGCGCTTAAGAGCCCCACTAGTCGCGGCCAGAGATTTCTCAAAGCCAGGACCCATGCACGGCCTGGAATGCCGTCGGGCCCTGGGGCGGTGTTCTTGATGCGAGCCACCGCCACTCTCAACTCTACCCGGGTCACTTCGGGCACGTCGTCGTCAGTCTCGTTGTCCGCGTCGGGCGAATCATGAGGCGGAACCATAGCCGGTGGTGTGTGCTCCGGTCTTGTCGGAAACAACCCACACACCACCTCCTCCAGCAGCTGCGGCTGGAGACTCCGGGACAGTGGGGGGGCCCATTGGCGCAACTTGCCCCGTACCATAAGGTAGGGGCGTCCCCACGGATCTCGGTCCAGAGTCTTCAGCAGCTCTGCATTGGCCTGGGCCTTTGCCCGGACAATGGCCAGCTGGAGGGCGCTTTTCGCCTCTCTGTAGTGGTTGTACAGTTCCGCCTCTTCCTGTTCGGCCGCCGCTGTAAAGGGGCGGCGACGTCTTCTTCGGAACCTTGCATACTGGCGTCGCACCTGCGCACAAGTGGTGCGTAGTTGCGCAATCGACTGCGACCACCAGTATACTTGGCGCCTGGATGGTAGCGGCCGGACTCGGGGCATGCTAGCGTCGCAGATGTGCGACATGCTCTCCCGGAACCACTCTGCCTCATCGTCGATGTCACTAGGCCTGTCTGGAGAGTCCAACCAGGCCTTGACAATAGAAGCCTCCAGGAGAGCCTCCCTGTCCAGCCGCTTTAGCGCCCAACGCGGACCATCTCCAACGCCCACCGGGGTCGCTTGGACCGGCCCAACCGAGGTCTGGGCGGAGACGCTGAATCGAATATATCGATGGTCGGACAGCGTCTCTACCTCCTCCAAGACATGCCAGTCCTGGACAGTGCGTGCGAGAGTGGGGCTAGCAAAGGACAGATCCACTATAGACCCACCTCGCTGCCGCACGCACGTCTGCACGGAACCCCGGTTGAGGAGAAGCAGGCCCTGCTCGACCGCCCACTCCTCCACTAACTCGCCCCGTGCATCCGTAGCCGGGGAACCCCAAGCCGTAGATTTCGCATTGAAGTCCCCTAAAACGATCACGGGACGAGGATGGCTGCGACTGACGACCGTGCCCAGTTCTGAGATAATATCCTCCATGTCGGCGAGAGATAGGCTGGGGGGGAAATATACCCCCGCGACCATGACATTTCCCCAAACTGCCGCGACATAGCCCCGCCCTCGGGTGACGGCCTCGAAGGGAAGGGTGTCGGCGGCAGACCTCATAATCAGTGCCACCGAGCGGTTCGTGTCGCACACCCAGTCATCCCTGGGTGGCACAAAGTATGGCTCGGAGACAGCTGTGACGTCGATATGATAGGTCCCCTCATTTGTTCTTTTTTTTAACAACTTGTCTTTGCATTGTTCTCACATAAGGGTACACTAATGTATACTATAAATGTTATATTATTGAAATTGTAAAACAATTTTTAAAAAAAAAAAGAGTAACGAATGGAGTTTCTTGCTCGTTCTTTTCCATTCGAATCTACAATTTGGAATGAGCACCTAGCTTCACTGACGAACAGACTGACAGACTACTTTTCTATTTTGACGTTTCAAAAGTACCTATTGATGGTTTAGTTGGAATAAATGATTTTGACTTTGACTTTGACTTTGTAAATAATATATTTATAAAATAAAAAAAAATATAAATAACAACTAAAATATTACGTATTATAAGCAATTTGCATACCGTCAATAATAAAAAAAAAGAACACAAAAAATCAGAAAGAAATTATATCAGTAGTTGTTAGAATATTGAGGGTGACGGACAAGTGATCGCAGAATTATCAATTTTGTTTTTTTTTTTTATTGACTACCGCAGACATCGAAGGAACTGCAGGTAAGTTTGCAAAGCGTTTCCTAATAATTACAGAAATTTCAAATGAATTAAAAATTAAATAAAAGAAATGTCAATACTGATTCCCTCACTGCCGATTTGTGAGTTAATAATAAAGTCTTTAAGCTTTACTTTAAAACTATGTACACTTTGCAGGTTCCTGATTGGCGGAGGGATGTTATTCCAGCATTTGGACGCTGCATATCGGAAACTTCCTCGAAAAGCAGCCGATTTGTGTGCGGTATGGCCAGCTGTTGTGCGCACCGTCTACCCTCTCGCTGCCTATGAGCATTAACCCACGAGAGCTTCGAGTAAAGGTATGCCGGACACTTGTATTTGATGATGCCAAAGAGGAGACATGCAAGATGGAGCTTACGTCGTGATTTCATCTTTAAAAGGCTGTGTTTGTTTAAGTAAGGTGTAACATGGTTCCTTGGAGGTATTTTAAAACAAAAACGTGCACAAGCATTCTGAACCCTTTGTATTAACCGTTCAGTCCGTGCAAAAAGTCTAGGACCAATGACCGTATCAGCGTAGTTCAGCTTAGACAAAACCAACGACTCAACCAACTGCGTTCCAACTGCACACGCAACTCCTCACTTAGATACGGTCGCATTTTATATAGTATTTTAAGGCGGTAAAAGCAATTTCTGACGCAGTTTGCGATGTGAGTGTGTAATTAATGAAGCCATTCGCGAATCAATTTTGTAAACCAAACCATAAAGACTTTTCAGCCTCGTAAAATAAATGACAAATGTATGAAACCTCCAATAAAATACCTTTAGGTACACATTAAATTACTCGCGCCTTATATTTTACATTAGCAATAAAACGCAACAACGGGCCTTGAATACGTAAAATGTCTAGGAACTACATAAACACTGATTCAATGACAAAATACACATTACATATTACTTAAATCCATTCGTTATCATAAGTTAATGTTTATAATAGCCTAAGGTGATATGATATATTCTTGAGCTCCGACTCAGACCGTCTAGTCGAAAGGTACTGTAATTTTATGCTAAGGCAGTATAAATTCGGTGTTTTTTGTAAAAAAAATTAAACAACTTTTTGTTAAATAATATATAATTTATTTCAAATCTCACTTCATTGTATCATAAATTAATGAAAAGAGTTTTCGTCTTGAAACCACTGGAATCATCTATGCGAATTATTACTTTAATTTGCAAATACGTCACACAAGGATGAGTCAGTGATTGTCAATGTCAACTCAATACTGGCATTTGATTTAGATTTGACACTTTGACAGTTCTCTGAAGTTGTGAACAGGTTGTTTTGCTGCGGAAAAGGTGTAAAATTAATAAGGTTTATAAGGCGATAGAGGCCCGCACTTTATCCGTATAATGTGATTATATATCTCTAGTGAAACTGTATTTGATGGGAGAGCGACAACGTACAGCAATACCAGAAGAAATGGCTACTACCAGCACTGCTGTCGCGACCGTCCCCCCGCAGACTCAGGAGGTAACCCCAACCGTTGTTGTGATGTTCCTTATCTTTTCTATTTGATCATTTAATACCGCGATACTGATATCTGTAACATTTTATTCATTTCGGATCTTATTGTTTTTAACGGCAGTATGGAAAAGTTGAGAAAATTATGCGTGTGCGTTCTACGCACACAATATACGTATTACAAACATGATTACTCGACGAAATCGGGATTGTTAAAGGATATAAACGTGTTAGATCTGAGTAGAGTGATCGCGGGACCATTTTGTTCCATGACCCTTGGGGACTTGGGCGCTAATGTCATAAAAGTCGAAAGTATGGATGGCGACGAAGCGCGGAAATGGGGTCCACCGTTTATCAAAGACAGTAAAGATTCTTTTTATTTTCTCTCAGTGAACAGGAATAAAAAGAGTATTTGCATTGATTTCAAGAGTCAAGAAGGTAAGTTCTGTTTGTTTATTATTGATATTATATTGCTGTTCTGGTCTGCATTATCAATCTTATATTTTTAAAATGTTACTAGAACATTCTCCTGTTAATGACAAGGTTATTTTGATATTGATAGATGAAATCATCTGATGTATCATCATATTGATTAGATCTAATTGTATCCTCATGTAGGCCACTCAGGAACTTTAAATGTAACTGCTTTAAAACTCAAAGGCTATGTAAATTAACTCAAAGTCACAAGAAACAATACAGTTCAACTCTTTCACCTCTGTTATTTAAGGTACCATCCACCTGTACCTCGGCCTGACAACTATTTTTTAAGAATTTTTCAAGTTCATCTTGGTAATAAATTGTAAACAGACTTATCTATGACAAGATAAATCCAAGAAACAGATACAACCTTATTTTTATTTTGTTCATATTATTATACAATGAATGCATTCAAGTGAAAGGGCATAGAAACATGTTACTCCTTTAATAAATTTAGTGATTTTGATTTCCTGTTAGATAAAATTTTACATTTCATTCATCAAACACCAAGTCAACCAGTTTTTATACACCTATTTTCTTTGTCTATATTACTGTGTCTCTTATTACGACAACTGAAAGGTTAATATACAATAACCCAATATTTACTGCTCATATATACTTAATCTATTAGTTTATTTGTGTTTTTTTCTTTTTTATGACATTTAAGTTTAACAAAGAAGTCAATATTATGGTTATTTACCCTTCTGAAGTTTGGTTTTCCACTGAGAGAGCAGAAAGAAAACTAGCATACTTTAAAGTGTAAAAGAGACAACAATATGTTTGGCTTTTAGAATAACCACAAAATCAGTATCACACTTTGATGATAATTGACATAAGTAAATTATAGTGTTTTGATGTGGCTACTGTTAATTCGCATTTCACGACTTTCCGGCCACAGATATGACGCCCTCTAAGGCTCTAATATGAAATATGTGCCTTCTACTTACTTATATTGTATCTCCATTTAACCAAGATTATGGTAAACCTTATAAAATGTACACAGAAGTTGTTGGTGTTCCTTTATTAACCTGTGGTATGCTGGAGCGCAGATATACGCGAGACAATGTGTTTTCTATTGTATCTCATATAATGGCAGACAAGAGGTTAATTAATATGTCTATTAAAACCACATTATTTATTATTTACGTAAATAGTGTGGCTTTTATTAACTTAACTGAGCTTAGTAGCAAAACATGAACTACTTGTCTTGATTCAAAACTGAACTACCTGCTTCTTAGTCAATCTTATTCATTTAATAAGTATATGCAAGTACCTACAACATTAACAAAATAATAGATACCAACAAATAAGCATGCCTAACTATTAATTTGTAGACCTAGCAAACTCCATAACACCTCAAAAAATTCTATAATGTCAAATGTCAATTACCAAGCATTTCATATGGAAAAGAAAATTTACTATTTCAATACACCCTATCCCATTTTCAACACACAATTTTTCCATAATTTTCATTGTTTAAACCTTTGCTGGACTTCCACAAATATTGTAAGACCAAAATTAACTTCAATCTATCCATTTCACAGTTTTAGCAAGACTAAAGAACAGCAATTAGTTTCTATATTTAAGACGAAAATGTATGATCAATTAGTATTAAAATTACTGATAAAAAATATTTAAATTTCAGGTAAGAAAGTAATATATGACTTGGCTAGAAAATGCGATGTTTTGGTTGAAAATTTTGTACCTGGCAAGCTAGACCAACTGGAGATTGGCTATGATAAACTGAAGATCATTAACCCAAAACTAATATACTGTGCTATCACTGGGTTTGGACCTACAGGACCATATTCTAAGAAACCTGGGTAAGTAGATTATGTAATGTTTGTTTTCCATTAGACTATTGCATATTTATTAATAATTCTTGCTTAGTGCTTGAATAAAACATAAACAACACAACAAGTGTGATAGGTAATTGTATTTTTTTTAATTATACATACTTCCTGTGTTACACACATACACAAAAAGTTTACAGTAGATACAATAGAAAAAAGTCGTGAGTACAATGTCTGTGTCTGTCTGTGTATATTTCTTCCAGACAATTCTTGGATGGAGATTTATAAAAGTAATGAGCTTAATTATGATTAAAAAAATATTATTAATTATGAAAAAGTAAAATAACACATAGTAAAGCTTATATTTAAATAAAAAATAAATAACATACTTAATCATAAATATCATTTTATCTAAGTACTGATATTATAATAATATCACTTACACTTTATGACAGTTATAAATCTAACAGCTAACCCAGTGATAAAATCGAATGCCGTAAATTACAGGAACTTAACTCGTCGCAATAATTACACTTTGCAGGTATGACGTAATAGCCGCTGCTATGGGTGGTCTGCTTAATACCACGGGAGAACCCGACGGGGACCCTTGCAAGGCAGGCGTCGCTATCACAGATGTTACCACAGGGCTCCACGCCTTCGGAGCCATTATGACAGCTCTGTACTACAGAGAAAAGACTGGAAAAGGACAGAGAATTGACTGCAATCTCCTCTCCACACAAATCTCTAGCATGATCAACATAGCAACCATTTATTTGAACTGTGGCATTGAGGGGCAGAGATGGGGCACAGCTCATGCGAACCTAGTCCCTTACCAAGCCTTCAAAAGTAAAGATGGCTACATGGTCATCGGGACAGGATCTAATCCCCAATTTGCAGATTTATGCAGGATCATAGGCAAAGAAGAACTGATAACTGATGAGAGGTTCAAAGATAATTCGAAGAGGGTTGAAAATAGGAAAGAAATCATTCGGATAATCAGTGAGGTTATTGGTACAAAGAGTAACAAGGAATGGTCGGAGATTTTCAAAAATGCATCATTTCCATGCGGTCCTATTAATAAGATGAAGGATGTGTTCGAAGATGAGCATGTGAAAGCTATTCAGTTGGTGAAGGAACTGCCTCATCCTGATGCTGGAACTGTGAAGGTTGTAGGTCCCCCCACTGTGTACGGATTAGGGGGGAATGACGCGCGGTTGGCTCCCCCAAGGTTGGGCCAACATACTCGAGATATATTGGCCAACTTTTTAGGATACCATGATAAGAAGATTGAAGGGTTGTTGGATAACAAAGTTGTGCAATAGTAAAATTAGATTTAATACTGATGGGAGTACAAAAAAATAAAGTCAAATAAATAATGGACAATTTGAGTAAGACTCGAATATTTACAGGACCTTTTTTATTATGTTTTTTTTTTCTATATTACAGGGTGTTTGACATACAATATTTTAATTCATTTTATATTTATAATAATATATGTATTACTATCATGATAAATGGTAATTTATGTCGTAAAATAAAATCAATATATATTCTTGTTTGTGAATTTTATTTTATTTGTTATGTAAGCAAAACAAGGTCGAAATAACTAATGCTAAAAAGTGCTAAAATATACGCCTTCTGTCTTTCATCTACCTAAATTATTATTAATTTGAAGCATTTATAAGAGTATTACTTTTATAGCACTCTAAACTGGTTTATTTTTATGAAACTGATATAATGGAAGGATCAAAAAGGCCAGAAGTACAGAATTTAAAAGTAAGTATTTATTTAAAGATGAGACGTAAGAGCTGGGAGCTCCTAAATGCTTTAAAATTGACAGTCAATCTTTAAATGAAGATCTTCGCCATTTGTTGTCTTAGGTTATGATTTAGGAAGTTATTAATGTTCTATTACTTAAAAGTCCTTGTCGACCAGAGACTGTATTGGTCACTCCAGATTATGGTAGAGATAATCGCGTTCCATACTTAGTGTGCACTCAGACAATTCGTAATTTCGTATACACTTACTTAGGTTAGCAGCAAACAAGATAGGCATAATTGGATCTCCTTAGGGCGATGCTGCTTGTCAGTAGCGATCAGTTTTTTCCACTTTCGTAGTACAAAAATATGTGGGAATGAACGTACTTAGGTACAGGAACGTAAAACGTAGGCCACAAATGAGCAAATCTTAATTAGGCGCCGCACTGTAGCTATTAATAGAACATTATCCCACAAGATAAGGTATCTAAGTCTACTGTTTACCCATCCTTATCTTAGGCAGATCAAATATTTTGGTATCTGATTATAAGGCTACTGTTTAGTCTGTTACATAATAGTTCTGTGAAATAAGTACAAAGTAGGTACTGTTAAATTTGTGTTATATTCTCAACACCAGCTTTGCCCGCGTTTATCTGATAAAAGTAACCATATTCTAGATTACAATCTATCTCGGTGCCAATTTTCATTCAATTCCGTAAGATAGTAGAATTTCCTTTGGTAACCATATAATAATATAATGTTGAACTCTTATCATAAAAATGGTACCTATAAAATATAACTGACATTAGAGCTAAAAATTATTAAATAAAACACGGTAACTATTAGCTGGTCAGTGGACAGATACCAGTTGCTACACTTGTACATTATTATTATTATTCAGCTGAATCTCATTAGAAACTAGTTATTCAGAATCTGTCTTACACACAACCACCAGTAGATGACAGGATAAGACAAAAAATATTTTTGAACCTCGTTCTAGAGCAAGTGAAGGAACTGGGGTTTTTAGTCAGATACGGCCTTATTACAAAACAAGGTTTTACTTTAGTCTAGGACTAAACCATTGAGCCAGTTTTTGTATTTCGAATTGAAGGTAGATGACAATAAGATTCAAAATTCAAAATCCGACTCAATGGTTTAAACCTGGACTAAAGATAAATCTTGTTTTGTAATAAGGGGGTAAGAGTCTGACTCTAAAAACTCCCTCTCAAAACAAGTACTTTGATAAATTTTCCTCCTCAAAAAAACATAACATATTGGTGGTTTAGATACCATATATTATTTAGTATAGTATGTTGTAGCGTACCGTAAAATGGGGCTAATTAAAACACTTTTTTCGTCAAACAGGTGTTTATAAAAAATATTCTAACTCAAATGACATGAAATATATTTTTTTTAGTAGATTACACAACAAACTATAAATAGTAATGATCGTAGTATACTTTCTGTAAATATATTTTAAGATATAATACTTTATTGTTGCTATTCCAAATATCGCATCAATGGGGTTATTTGTAATCTCACTTTTTTGCCTTAGTTTTTCTTTTTATTTTTAGTTGTGTCAAATAAAAGTCAGTAAGCTATATTCGGAAAAGATATAGGGTTAGAAGTGGCCTTCATTGCACCTTAATTTCGCTCTCTATATGCCACAGACAAGCCAAAAATAACAACGGAATATTTATTCACTAAGAGATCTATGGCTTCTTTAGGGTTATTTGGAATATAATGTTAATATATCAAAGGTATTGTAAATGAAAGTGAAGCTATATTTGGAATATTTAAGGGCAAGTACGATCCATCTATGTTAATAAAAATTTATTGCTTAATGTGTTGCTAAGATCAAAACTCGAGAAAGGCTGAACCGATTTCGCAATTATTGTTTTTTTGCGTTTGTTCTTGTCAGGAAAAGGTTTTTATGAAAGAAAAGTACAAGAAATTTGCAAGCAAAATTACGTGGAGGCAGCGCTGGACAGCTAGTTTCAAATAAAAATGTATTGCGCAAAATGAGTTAGCTGTGTATATACAGTGACGTGATTATTTTATGAAATGCTTATATTATGTATTTAAATAAAATAACTTTAGTCAGTCACAATATTTATTTTTCTTCTACAAATTATGGTATTAAGGTACTATTTAGTCACACTGATTTCACAATGTTAAGTACATACTTACGTATTTTTGTATACTCAGTATTTGTATGTATTTTATGAACGCCATCTCTTCATCTTTTGAAAAAAGAGTAGGGTGTCCGGCTTTTTCTTGGGTGCAATTTATATTTCGACATTTTCTGCTTAATGTACTCTTTGGAATGTTGTATTTATTAGCCGCCTCTATTAATTTCAGTGAGCCATTGCATTTTGCAAATCTTCTTTGCAATAACTCAGATAAGGTGAATGATTCTTACCGTTGCGTGAGTTAGTAAACTTTCGTTGGTAGGTCCGCACCATATTAAAGTTGAAATCTGTAGCAAATAAATGAACATTATAAAAAAAAATCCTATTTAATTCCGCCGCATTATTCCATTAAATAAATACGCGGACACATGCAATTACGTTTAATATTATCGTAAATAAATAAAAGTATATAGATCGAAAAAAAGAAATCTTAAATAACTATTCAACGATAAAATCATTCAGGTGTAAATTAAACATGTAGGAAATGTTTTTTAATTTTATGCAGTGCAGTACAGGTAAATTGTTTTGTGAGTACATACCACCTACCTATGCCGAGAAATATCTTGCCCTTAACATACTCAAAATTCGCAATTGGGACTATTTGGAACTATGATTAAATTCCTTGGCAATGTATAACAAGCTATAAAGGGGCTAATTGAAACTTCGTTCCAATTAACCCCAAAACAGAAACCAAATAGCCCCATTTAGAAAAATCTAAATATATGCCAGCTCGAAAAAGGTAGAAACGAGCAAATAGAAACACTGAAAAGCGCATAAAACACACTTTTACTTAGTTTAGTCAAATCCTTACATACCTGTCTAGATTTTGGGTTTCAGACGAAAGTTATCCAGGCACGAAATACACTCAAAACACAACGATTTTTAAAATTACGAGTTTTTTTTTTTTTTTTTTTTTTTGTTGTTGTTGGCAACTGAGTCTCCAATATAATGTTGTCGACTATACTGCCAGTGTCGAGTGGTGACGGCAGAGTACTGTACCGTCGACTTTTAACTTTGTGGTAGTATTTACTTGTTAGTAGCTGAAAAGGACAAAACATTTGGGTTAGTAAACATATATCATCTATAAACCTACAGTTACTATACTTACCTTACGTTTAATAGATAATTAGATATATATATAATAATTATAACACATACAATATTTACATTATTACACACCGCTACATTTTAATATTATTTTCATTCATAAATTTGGACAGACACTTAATTAATTTGTGGGAAAAAAAAGTTAGAAGGGAGTGGAAGTTGATTGGGAGTGGGATTTGGATTTTGGGAAGGTTTCCATATAGGTCAAACGACTGGGAATTAAGAGGGCATGAAAAAAATATATGGTCTAGGGTACCCTCATCAAGACCACATTCGCACAGCGAGCTGTCACGTACGCGTATCTTGGCGAGAAATACCGGGCTAGTACAGTGGCCGAGTCTGAGTCTGCACAAAGACGAGACAGTGTGTTTGGGGAGTTTCTTGTGCTTGGAGAACCAAGGTTTCCGCTGGATATCGGTCTGGATACTAGCATAGTAAGCTCCTTTCCGCTTAGAGGAGTCCGCCCACACTGTAGCCCACGAGTCGAAGAGCTTGAGTTTAGTATCGGCACGTATGTCATACCCATACACAATATAGTGGTGACGTTCAACGTTATTCACGGCCGCAAACTTTGCCAATCTGTCAGCACACTCGTTACCGCATATACCAGAGTGGCCAGGAATCCATGCGATCTCAATATTTAGTCCGTCTCTTTGGCAGGATAAAAGTAAAGATTTTATTTCCACTATCAGACTACAATGCGTCCGGGAATAAAGCTGATCTTGACCGAGCGCTTGTAGACTGCTTCGAGAATCTGAGAAGATAACCGAGTTGCTGAGGTTGTGCGATTTAATAAATTTGATGGACTCCAGAATGCCAACGCATTCCCCAGTGAACACGGAGGCTTCAGGGGGACATTTGGAGAGCAGAGCAATTCTTGAGTTCTGGTAATATGCTGCCACTCCTGTGCATCCATCTCGGGACAATTTGGATGCATCCGTGTAAAACATATTCCAGCCGTGCCAGTAATTGGTCAGCGCGCGCTCAAAATCACCCTTGGCGTCCACTGATGACTTTGAAATGCCCAAACTCAGAACCAGCTTTGGCCTAAAGTGAATAACCTCATATGCGGAAGAGAAAACCGGAAGGATAGGGTATTGACTGATGGGTGCAGAGAGGTTTTTAAGCTCCCTATACCTAACAATCACGGGTGGGACAGGTTTATTGTTCCAATATGGAGAAGAACCATAGGAACAATGGATTTGCTCAAGGATAGGAAGCAGGGGATGAGAAGAGCGGGTCAGGACTTTAGAAACGAAACGGTCTGCCAGGTATTGTCTTCGAAGGTCGAGGGGGGGCTCTGCACATTCAACCTGAAGAGCGTTTATAGGGGAAGACTTCATAGCTCC